CCCCACACACACAAAAAAAAAAATTAACAACTGGCCAATCTGCAACTCAGCAAGGCGGACGAATCAACACTGGCCGAACTGAAATACTGTACAGCTGACTGAAAATACCAGGAGCGATATCGACATCTTGGGGCGGCCCGGTGGTCCAGTTAACAACTGGCCAATCTGCAACTCAGCAAGGCGGACGAATCAACACTGGCCGAACTGAAATACTGTACAGCTGACTGAAAATACCAGGAGCGATATCGACATCTTGGGGCGGCCCGGTGGTCCAGTGGTTAGCATGTCGACCTCACAGTGGAGAGGTACCGGGTTCAATTCCAGCTGTGGCCTTCCTGTGTGGAGTTTGCATGTTCTCCCCGTGCCTGCGTGGGTTTTCTCCGGGTATTCAAGTTTCCTCCCACATTCCAAAAACATGTATGGAGGGCTGATTGAACACTCCAAAATTGTGTGAGCTCATATGGTTGTTCGTTTCTGTATGTCCTGCGATTGGCTGGCAACCGGCTCAGGGTGTCCCCCGCCTACTGCCCGAAGACGGCTGGGATAGGCTCCAGCACCCCCCGCGACCCTAGTGAGGATAAAGCGGGTCGGAAAATGAATGAATGAATGATATCTACATTTTTGTATTTTCTTTCTTTCTTTCTTTCTTTTCTTTTTTTTTTTAAGCCACATCATATGCGGTAACAGGTTGTTGTGCAGGGCCATTTGCAGTGTTCAGAAATAAGATGAATTTGGGGGCAAATAAAGAAAAAAATAATCATCACAGCGTTTTCCCCCCCATAGTATAATAGACTATCATCTCCTCTGCCTGTTGCCTGTTGACAAAATGTGATCGTTTAATTGTTCTGTAATTGTGATTAGTTAGTCACAATAATAAAAGATTGGGGGGAAAAAATGGCATTTGCTCTTATCTGAAGTGTAGGATAAATAGTTGGTACATTTGTATGCCGTGTATAATCCCATGAATATGACCTGTTGTTTGAAATGTAACTTTCATGTCTATTTTACGTTATTATTTGCATGCCTGTGACTGTGTTCTTGCTTATACTTGAGTCCATACAAAAAAAAACCCACCAAAAAGCTTGACTGGCATTCCAGACAACAGTTTCATCATATATGACTAATGTTGATCATTAGTTCAAAAAAAAATTCTGCAATGGCTTTTTGGCGTTACGTTGTGTGTGTATTATTTTGGTTCCCCGCGGGCATCGACCGTGCTTCCCGTGTCACCGCACCTGCCAGGGCCTAGCATCATCTCTACGACTCGCAAACAGCTGGAAAGCAAGAAAAAGATGCGTTTGCTGCTCTGAAGCACCGCATATTTCCACAGGCATTTTGCTTTTGATGCATATGAAAGTGAGAGCGGGAAGGTACGTACGCAATGTTTTTGTGCGTACGTACGCAGCACCTTGCTCATGAGACCACTGGTCTTTTTGGAGAGCCGCTTCTTTTGGCGCAGCTCCCTAAGAAGAGCCCTCTCTTCGACTCCCAAGTGGCCCCTCAATTTTTTCTTGTTTTTTTTTTTTTTTTTTGCTTCAAATAATTACCAAGTTATGTGTACAATCAAATAAAAAAATGGGAAAAAATCGATTACACTGAATATGCATACTCAGAACTACGGAAGAAGATTAGGGTCAATGAAGATAAAGAAAACAAGGTTGGCAAGATCCTCCTCAGAATTCTGATTTGATTCTCAGATTTCTGAATTTATTCTCAGAATTTTGACTTTAGAATCAGACTTCTGACTTGAATGTTTATCAGTCAGAATTCTGAGAATAAAGTCATAATTCTGACTTTGAAGTGAGAAGTCTGGGAATAAGGTCAGAATTCTGAGATAAAAGTGAGAAACTTGCCTATCTTGCCCCCCCCCCCCCACACAATTCTGGCCCTAATTCTCTTCCGTTCCAGAACAAACAAAAAATAAACTGTAAAAGACACTTCAACTCAAGTTCATTTCAAGAGCATGTAGAAAAAAATGCTGCTGCAACCAACAGAATGATTATGATACAGCATTTTTCTTGTCTTGCCAAAGTCTTTTTTTTTAAGGGGCGAGCCGTCCCATTCACGTGAAGGGGGACCTCATTCTGGCCTCATATACTGCTGGGCCAATGGAACGGTCTGATTTTGGTTGAATCACCGCCATTGGCCTGGATCTCGCTCGGGAAGTTTGGCCATCTCCACTTGCGCGTTGCTCAGCGGCAGTGAGCGCTGCCTGCAGCGGCTTTCTTTTTCTTGCGTAAGCAGAGTCCAGAGTATGGAAAACAAGCATCCGTCCAAACAATTTTTGTGGCGCACGGACACATCGCCACAAAAACGTATTTTTAGGCTTTGACAGGAGAGTGCTTCATCGTCAAAGAGGTTCTTTCGCTCTGGTTTATCTGCAAAGCCATCGGTGGAGAAACTGTGTGTGGAGTGGTCATGACACATTTTTCGCCATTTTCAGAGAGAAACACCTAAAAGCCACTTAAAATTGACTTGGTTGTTTAATTTCACATTTAATAGGTGGGCAAACACTTTTGACAATATTTGCTTCCACACGTCACTAACTATAAACTCTAACGCCACTCAAATGAAAGTAACAATCTTATGTGATGGATGTAGCTCGAAACAATGTTCACAACACATTTGCTGTAATTAAGCCCAAAATTATTCATACCAAATTTTGAGTTCAAGATTGTTGTTGTTGTTTTTTAACTGATTGGACGAGTGTAGAATCTCTTCCTACACAAATGGCAAAAGACATTTAAAAGTTCTGTTAGAGATGAAAGATGTTCTTTTTCTTCTCTTTTTTTTCCCCTCCAATTAGTCATATCCCAACTTTGAGGAAAATGCCATCGTATGCACGATTCTCAAAGAATCTGGGTAACTTCTCACGCAATCTTGAGATCTAGTCAAATCAATGACACATTTAGACCATCGGATATGCTCGTGTGAAGAAAGGTTAAGAATAGGCTCAAACACCAAATGAGAATTTTCAGACTCGAGTTGGAACGGTTAATACCGTTACGTGTATTCGTCACGGAAAAATGTTTGGGTGGCAACAGTCACGTCTCACTATGCGTGACATACAGTATTGTAGCTTTGCAGAGCTAGCAACAAGTTCTTTCATCAGAGCAAAAATGATTACTCCATTCTTTCGCTGTTTGCCCTGGTAAAAATGTACAACTGGTATGGGCCCCATCTAATTTTTGGTTGGCACATCCATCAAGAGTAACCCCACAAAAAGTATCAAGATCACACAAAAAAAAAAAAAAAAAGGGCAAATCTGCTCGTTTGCTCTGACGTGGCCGTTTTACGATCGTATATGGTCATTTCCAGTGGTTCTTTGCTAACAGATTTGTCAGATCGCGATCAAGTTTTGTTAGAGGAATTTATGAGCAAAATTGTATCATAAAACAGATTTGTCAGATCGCGATCAAGTTTGAACAATGCACTGTATGCTGTATACAAGACAGATGAGCAACTCTATACTGCAAAACATCCATCCATCCATCCATCCATTTTCTGAACCGCTTTATCCTCACAAGGGTCGCGGGGAGCACTGGAGCCAATCCCAGCTGTCTTCAGGCAGTAGGGGGTGGGGGACATCCCGAACCGACTGCCTGCCAACGGTAGGGTGCACAGAGACGAACAACCACCCGCGCTCACACTCACACCTCGGGACAAATTTGAGTGTTCAATCAGCCTGACATGCATGTTTTTGGAATGTCGGAGGAAACTAGAGTACCCGGAGAAAACCCACGCAGGACCGGGGAGAACATGCAAACTCCACAAGGGAAGGCCGTAGCTGGGATCGAACCCACGACCTCTGCACTGTGAGGTCGATGCATTTGAATTATATCATATGTGGGCAATGCATGGAAGTTAACTTTCAGTGCACACAAAGTAGACCAAAGCTCTTGTGTCTCCCTTCTGTCCCAAAAAATAAATCAATAAAGTATAGACTGTGTATATATAAGGTATGATTATCTGCATGATCTTAGATCAGTGGTTCTTAACCTTGTTCGAGGTACTGAATCCAACCAGTTCAATTGCACATTCATCGAACCCTTCATTAGTGAAAAATAAAAATATGATTTTTTGATCAATTCAACACTTAAAAAAATGCATTTATTAAAAGCTGAAAAAAGTACATAAGATTTCTAGACATAAGTATTTTTAACTATGCACAAAATGAACCGTGCATGACGTACTATCACGACAGTCGCACTTTGACTACTGAGCGAGCTAAATTACCCGCAGCACTGATTGGACAAGCAATGCAATGCGATCATCTGCAGCCAGTGATGGCCAAGTGGGCGTGTCATAACTAATTGACATATTTGAGTCGGGTGTGTCTTAACCTCCATGGCAGAGGCTCCGTCGAACCCCTGAGACCGATTCATCAAACCCGGGGGTTCGATCGAACCCAGGTTAAGAACCACTGTCTTAGATCAAGCGTGAGGGCTTGTTCCTTGCAGCGTCAATCGTTATTACTTTTATTATAATATAAATTGTAATTACCAATCAACTGGGGTAACACTCTGTGTTAGTGGTTAGTTAACTTGTCTCACTCTTCCAAGGTTTGGAGTTTGAATCCCAGCTGTAGTGTCGTTTGCATGCTTTCCTCGTACGTTCTTGGGCATTCTGCCGGTACTCGAGCTTTCCCTCACATTGCAAAATATTGCACACGAGCTGCATTCAAGGCGCTAAATTCTCTATAGTGGTGAATGTTCCGTCATGTGAGACTCTGAGATCAACCTGTATAGAAAATGGATAGATGGATGTTTATCCTGCCAGAAATGTACTTTAGCGGCCTTGAACACAAACCCCTCAATCCAGCACCCGCCACCAGTGCAGCCAACAGATCACGAAATGTAGCATGCGAGTTCTTCGACAACAACACGTACGGAGATTGAACTTGTGCTCTTCCACTCCCATTTTCCTGTCCAAGTTCCATTTTTTTCAGGTAATTTGATCATTTTCGTTTTTCCCAACACCTCCTCCAAAGGAATTCATCTGATCACCACCACGATTGAACCCGCGATGCTACTTTGTTCCAAGAACCATGGTGAGCCATAGGCGGCACACAGGCACTACATTGGCCATGTCGTTTACAAAATATGTTGCATTTGAATTCAAAATGAGATGCTCAAAATTTGCCTGGACACCCCTGGGCCAATATGGGCAATTAGCATGAAGCTGGACAACTAGATTGTCTCAAGTCAGACGAGTTGCTTCCTCATCAGAGTAAGAGAGGGTTTGAGGGGGGTGAGAGAGAGAGAGAGAGAGAGAGAGAGAGAGAGAGAGAGAGAGAGAGAGAGAGAGAGAGAGAGAGAGAGAGAGCGCGAGGAGAGGGAGGGAGGAAGGGAGAGCGAGGGAGGAAGACATGAGGAGAGACGCTGAGCGACAGGCAGATGGAGAAGCATGTGAGCCGAGCAGCAGAGAGAGACAAAAGCGCGTGGAGGAAGTGCGGCGCGGCGTGCCATGTGCTCAGGTAGCGCTCACTCTTTACACAACAACAACAACACAACAGGCATTTATTTTCACTGCTTTTCTTCCTCTCTAATTGCACCCCTTCTTCTGCGG